CAACTTTCAGGTATTTTTATTTAATTTTTTTTATAAAAACAGGGTTCCTCAAATCCGGTCCTGGAGGGACACTGCCCTGCAGAGTTTAGCTCAAACCCTGATCAAACTCACTTACCTGTGATTTTTTTATGGATCCTGAAGACCTTGATGAGCTCGCTCAGGTGTGTTTGATTAGGGTTGAAGCTAAACTCTGAAGGGCATTGGCCCTCCAGGGCAAGATTTGAGGAGCCCTGGTCTAAAACATGTTTAATGGTTGAAGTTCCCTTGACTTGCAGTAATAACACTTTGGGTTTCTGTAGACGGAAGCTCTGGATGACAGTGGATGGACCATCAAGAATGTGCTGTCCCTGCCAATTGTCAACAAAAAAGAAGAAATTGTTGGCGTTGCAACTTTCTACAACAGGAAGGACGGCAAACCATTTGATGACCATGATGAACAACTCATGGAGGTAAAATTGAGAGATTGATTGGTAGCATTACTGAGAATGGTCATTTACTGACTGAATTCAACAACTTGTTGACTTGCGGAACAATGCGTTGCTGTCTCAACAGGCTTTGACACAGTTTCTGGGCTGGTCAGTCCTCAACACAGACACCTATGACAAAATGAATAAGCTGGAGAACAGGAAGGACATTGCCCAGGACATGGTGCTGTACCATGTCAAATGTCGAGATGATGAGATTCAAAACATCCTTGTAAGTTTATACTTATTATTATTTTATTATTTTATTTTATTACTATTTATTTTTGTTCTCTTTGGTATTTCTGTTCTAGAAAACAAGAGAATATTTTGACAGAGAACCAAGAGACTGTGAGGAGGACGAGCTTTTGGAAATTCTGGTACACTGAACTGCTTATTAATTAAAGATTTTGAAATTACTGGCTGATCTTAATCTTCTCCGATAGATAAGATAAAGTCACCTTTAATAGGAATCCATTATTTAAAACATTACAGATGCTTTCAGATATGTCTATTGTGATTCTCTCCATATACTAATTAAGTTTAAGATATGCTGTTTCAGCTATTATTGCATTATTCAAAATACTTTGCATATTTTTTTCATTTTGCATTGGTTTGTTTTTCAAAAGTTATGCACTGACTGACTTTTTTTTTTTTTTTTTTTTTTGCAGAAAAATGAGCTGCCAGGTCCAAAAAAGTTTGAGATCTACGCATTCCATTTTTCAGACTTTGACTGCACTGAACTGGAACTTGTAATGTGTGGGATTCAGATGTACTATGAAGTTGGAGTGGTTAAAAAGTTTCAGGTCCCTCAGGAGGTAAATTTGCTTGTTTATAATGATGGAGACACCTGATTTGTGTCGTGAAGCATCATGGAATTCCATAAAATTGGCTGCTATTTTCCAATTAGGTTTTGGTAAGATTCATGTACTCAGTGAGCAAAGGCTACAGGAAAATCACCTACCACAACTGGCGCCATGGCTTCAATGTTGGGCAAACCATGTTCACTTTACTCACGGTATGACCTGCTCAGCTTACCTTTACTTATGATGACTTGTTTAGGGTCCAAACTAAATGTATGTTGTTGATTTACGCATTTAAAAATGATGAAACAGAATTTCAAACATAATGATTGTTTCCAAACAAGTTTGTTTGATCCGGTTTCAGACAAACAGATTTTTGCATCTTTGTTGTTCATGACACATTTTAAATACACATACTAAAAATGAAAAAATCATAATGAAAATTATTTTTTGTTTTTTATGGAGCCAGACAGGCAAACTGAAGCAGTATTACACAGATTTGGAGGTGATGGCCATGATCACTGCAGGCTTCCTGCATGATATCGACCACAGAGGCACAAATAATCTCTACCAAGTGAAGTCAGTAGATACTACTACTATTTCTACTAGTACTTGTACTATTATTGCTTCTACTAATAATAATCTTCATCACATTTGTATGTTTTGTGATAAGGTCCCAAAATCCTCTAGCCAAGCTGCATGGATCCTCCATTCTAGAGAGGCATCACTTGGACTTTGGCAAATTCTTGTTAGGCGACGAGGTATGAGCAAACTGTCCAGAATGTGAGCCTTCTTGTTAATTTGATTTGACCCTAACATATGTTTTTTTTCTTAGTCATTAAACATCTTCCAGAACCTCAACAGAAGACAAACGGAGCATGTCTTCCACCTCATTGACATTGCCATTATTGCAACTGATCTTGCATTGTACTTCAAGTAAGGTTTGACAATATATCATACGTAGTAGTATGTTTTAAAGTCTCTTTAAAGGAATTTTTCACTCAACAATGAAAATGCATTATTTACTTGTCACTATGTGGTTTCTGGAACTGTATACATCATATACAGTTACTTTTTTCTTTAGTTACTTTGTATAGTGCCAGTTTATAGTGACCGTTGCTGTTCATTTAAAGAAGTGAAACTAAAGGGGAAGTTGTGGCCTAATGGTTAGAGAGTCGGACTCGTAACCCAAAGGTTGTGGGTTCGAGTCTCGTACCGGCAGGGATTGTAGGTGGGGGGAGTGAATGTACAGCGCTCTCTCCCACCTTCAATACCATGACTGAGGTGCTCTTGAGCAAGGCACCGAACCCCCAACTGCTCCCCGGGTGCCGCAGCAAAAAAATGGCTTCCCACTGCCCCGGGTGTGTGTTCACGGTGTGTGTGTTCACTGCTGTGTGTGTGCACTTTGGATGGGATAAATGCAGAGCACTAATTCCGAGTATGGGTCACCATACTTGGCCACATGTCACATCACTTCACTAAAGCTAAAATGAGACAAAAGTTTTAAAATATGAACTTTTTCTACCTTAAAGAAAGAGAACAATGTTCCAGAAAATTGTGGATCTCTCTGAGACATATGAAGATCAGAAGAAATGGGTGGACTTCATGTCTCTTGAAACAACAAGGAAAGAAATTGTAATGTAAGTGTGTCCATTTACAACTTCCGCTAGGCATTTTAGCATAATACATCTCTTAGAAATAATCAATTTGGGCTTTGCGTGTTTTTATATTTTTAATAATTGACCAGGGCCATGATGATGACAGCGTGTGACCGCTCAGCTATCGCAAAACCATGGGAGGTACAGAGCAAGGTAAGAGATGTCAAATGAAGAATAACTACAGGTTTGCTTCTCAGCAATATATAAGTGTAATTTCTCCCATCCTAGGTCGCCCTCTCTGTAGCAGCTGAATTCTGGGAGCAGGGTGATCTTGAGAGGACTGTTCTTGAGCAACAACCTATCGTGAGTACATGAATCTAATATTGGTGGTTGGGCTGCTAGGAAAGCTCCCATCTTGGAAACCATTGGTGGAAAAAAAAAACAATCATGTGGTGTTTGTCTTTTAATCTAGCCCATGATGGACAGGAACAAAGCCGCAGAGCTGCCAAAGCTTCAGTGTGGTTTTATCGACTTTGTCTGTACTTTTGTCTACAAGGTACCTTTATGAATGAAGGGAACTGAACTTTTTTGTTTGTTTGTTTCAAGAAATGAATGACCAAATCATTCTCATTTTGTTTTTAACATTAAGATTAATTAGCAACCCCTCCCTCTTTGTTTTCCATAGGAATTCTCTCGTTTTCACCACGAGATCCAGCCCATGCATGATGGCATTCTGAACAACCGGATGCATTGGAAAGAGAGGCAGGAGGAATATGAGGCAAAACTAAAGGCAATGGAGGAGGCAGCTAAGGCCAGACAGGAAGCAGCTGCCAAAAATGGTTTGAATTTTAATCGTTTGCTTAAGATTTTATTCATCTATACCCTTTGTTCACTGTATTTCTACTAAATTAGAAAGAACCTACATTCAGACCCTCTTACACTGTAGCTCATTTTCAGGTTGACGTTTGACATAACAATATAGATTTTTATTTAAAAAATCAGTAAAAACAGTAATATTGTGAAATATTATTACAAAAACAAAACGTTTCTATTTTAATATATTTTAAAATAAAATGTAATTTATTTCTGTGACGGCAAAGCTGAATTTTTAGCATTCATTACTCCAGTCTTCAGTGTCACATTATCCTTCAGAAATCATTCTAATTTGCTGTTCAAGAAACATTTTTTATTATTATACTTCAAATAAAGTATAATTTTATCTTTGATCAATTTAATTAAAAAACCCTGATGACCCCAAATATTTGAAAGGTACTGAAGTGTACACTGACATGCTACATGGCCAACAGTATGTAGACACCCAAAATCCACACCTATATTTGCTTGTACAGATTTACAGATTAATTTAGTCTGTTAACATGAAAAAGAAAAACACTTTGACTTCCACAAAAGAACCCAGACACAAAAAGCTAACCTGAAGAAGATGTAATTAAACATCAACAACTTCATTAATCTCCAAGAAACTTGATTGGCCATCAAAAAGCCCAGACCTGAACTAGAATAGCCAATAACAAAAGAGTGTCCACATCCTGTCGGCCATATATCGTATGATATGATGCATTTCTTTCATTCGGACTCTTTGTGTTTGTTTCTGTACGGTTTCTCTACAGCTGCAAATTCCAACAGCACCAGTGGATCAGGATCAGGATCCAAGACCTGCTCTATCTGCTAGAGAAAAGATGACGTTACAGAGGGCAAGGCAGTTTGAGATATAGTACATCACACAGATCAACATCACCCTTAGGATCCCCAAAGATCTAATCAAGAGTGAGTGGGAAAACACTGTCAATGCATTATATGCTATCAGCAGGCCACAAGACCACCTGCTAACCAAAACACACATGGGATCTTGCCTACTACAGTTAGCATTACTGTTCCATTGTTTCCTTTGGGTCATAGTGTTCAAGCATTTTTATAGGATGATAATCAGTTTAAGTTAATCACAATGCAGACTTAGATGTACTATAGGAAAATTCAGAGGTGAATATTGAAAATATGGTTCTTATTTTCAAAAAAAAAAAAAAAGGTTTATTTTGTTTTTCTCTCCATGCAATCAAAGATATTAGCATTATCTATAAATTACTTGTATGGATAGGTTTTAATTTATTTTAATTTATCAGCTGCTATTTAGTATCAAGCAGGTCCATGACAAGTTAACTTTTGCTCCATTTTGTAATTTTAATGTCTAATTTGTTGACACCTGCTACTTTCACTGAATATCAGAAAACAAAGGCCATTATATGAGTGATACGTATTTTTTCTGTCATTTATTCCCTCTAAATGTAATCACATTGTACAGATGGAAGCTAACATTGCAGGTTGCTAAATGTGAGAAGGTAGGTGACAGACCTTAGTGCGCAACAAAATAGTTTCTGGTAAGCTAGATGGCAGAATACAGTGGTGGTCAGCATGTATAAAGATTGGGTTTAAAGTTATAGTTTGAATTTTTTTTTTCTTTAACTTAAGCCGACAGGTAATGCACAATTGTCCTTCAGACTTATTTACATCAAGTGCTGTCATGGGTGTGTTTTACTGAGCAATGTCCCGTTACTCAGTGTCTCCGCTGTTGGGACATGCGTTCACAGAGAAAACTAATTCCAGTGGCCTTGATATCATTCATCTGTTCTCAGCTGACCCGTCATCACACTGAACCTTGAGAAGTCTGTGATTAAAGGGATAGTTCACCTTCAGTTGCTGGTACCCATTGACTTGCATAGTGTTTTTTTTCATACTATGGAAGTCAATGGGGACCAGCAACTGAAGGTGAACTATCCCTTTAAATTCATGAAGGTATTCAGATTCAGACTTTTTTTGTAGGAATCAAGTTTTTCTTTCACTAGTTGTCTATAAAACATCGTAAAAACATCAGTTGTGAATCTAATTGTGTAAATACACAAAATGTATTTTTAAACTTTATGAGGTACGACTTTACATACTGTTAAAAGTAAAAATTACAAAGGTGTGTTTTAGTGCACTTAATGAATTTTACAAGCTTATAATACAAAGCTGCTGCTTCTGTTTCACATATCATAAACGTTTAATTTAAGTAGCGAAGAATCAGGCAGTAGCAATGAAAATTAATGTTTAAATCAATGTGTCAGATCTGACAGCGAGGGCCCGATAAGAAGACTTATCGAGTCTTTTTGAATTTGACACAAATGTGATTTACTTGCAGAGCAAGTTTAATCATTTTTGACATGAATTTGATTATTTTGATTCATCTTCAAATATGATGCTCGCAAACCATCAAAAATACAGCATCAAATATGGATGATTCCAATTAAATTATTAAACATTAAGCTTCACTTCTGTATGCTCAATACAATGACAATTAAAGCATATATTTTTATGAACTTTGTGTTTTTCTTAGTACTTAGATTGACTATTTCAAATAAATTATGTTCTTTCTATTTATCAAAGAATACTCGGGGGGGAAATGTATCACATGTTACAACAGGAAATGCTTCTTGAGCACCAAATCAGCATATTAGAATGATTTCTGAAGGATCATGTGAGACTGGAATAATGGCTGCTGAAAATTTAGCTTTATCATCACAGGAATAAATTACATTTTAAAATATATAAAAATAAATAAACAGCTATTTTACACTGCAGTATTTCACAATATTACTGTTTTTACCAATTAAATGCAGCCTTGGTGAGCAGAAGAGACTTATTTCAAAAACATAAAACATAACTTACAGACCCCAATTTTTTTGATGGGTAGTATATTATAGCAATAACAATATTAATTTGAGACTATTTCAAACTACAAAGGATTTCATTCTCTTCACACATCTACTCAATGAGTCACTCGATAAGAAAGCCTCTTATCCCATGAGAACTATCAGCAGTTTCCACCCTTCCCTTCCTAGATACTGTAACTGAGTGTCATCTGCAAAGGTTATCTGAACATCCCTACACATTCCATTTCCCAATAAATCCTCTGACAATATTCTTACAAGACTTCCAATATTTTTGTCTCTGTTAAAGTCATGGCAGTTTTGGGTTTTTAGATTAACTCAGTAGAAATGTTGTTTATAAATGAAGGAAAGCAGTTTCTAAACAAATATTTATCTCGCTTTTTTAAATAGTTAATGAAGTGCAGCACCGCAGCTAAGTAGCTGTGAAGCATTTGTGCAAAATCAGCACTTGTGCTGTATTGGCTTGACCTAAATCCTGGGATTTATGCTAAACCATGGTGAGGTTATACAACCGTCCTCCCTCTATAAACGTCACCACAGCAGTGCAGTAAAGACAACAGTCCTCAACACATTCTCAGAGAATGATCTTGGTTTGTCATGCATATAGTGCATATAACTATAACCCAACCAAATGAAAATGTTCTTTTCTTGCTGAAAAGGTATGCAGACGCCCTTATGATGCATAAATCAGAATTACTTGAATAATGGCAATGAGGAAAAAGAAAACATACAAGAATATTTTTACCTTCTGAAAATAAAATTAGGTTTATTGTGATTCATTTCATTTGGTGCTGGAATGGATACATCATGGAGATTTACTTCAGAATGGTGTCAGAGTTTGCTGTGGAGATAAAAAAAAATATTAAGATATTTTCATATTTTGAATTATTTGTGGTCAAGTTAACACCCTGTAGCCTGTGAGAAGAAATATATCCCCTGAAATTCCTTTCCATAAACAGCACTACTTTGCATTTGATTCACTGAATATTTTCAATGAATAACTTTGAACCCAAAGTTAATTTTCAAGTAGGTGAAAACTGACATGCTACATAATGAGACACTGTTAATGTATGACAAAACAAAAAGAGGACTAATTTCTTTCGTCAAACACCATTTCAACATTACTGTATCTCCCCTCTACATAAGGCTGGTTAATGTAAAATATCCGCATTCACTGAAACACAAAGATAAGAAACTAACAGGTGGGCCAGGGTTAAACATCTGATATATTTTGCTATATTTTATCCTTGTTATATTGTAGTATCAAATTGTGTGTGTGTGTGTGTGTGTGTGTGTGTGTGTGTGTATACATACAGAGAGAGAGAGAGAGAGTGTGTTACAGACCTTCAGACAGCTGTTTGTAAATGCGTTCTTGCTCTTCCCTGAGTTTCTTCTCTTCCTCCTCGATCCTCCTTTCTTCAGCAGCAATGGGCTTCAGATAATCTGGTGAGAAAATGGATTTAAAAAACACCATAGAAAGACAATTAATTTAACTGAGGCAGAAAAGGCAACACAAAAGCCTGCATTAAAAAACCAAAATGTTTAAAAATGTCACCATAACTCAAACACTTACCATATCTCTGCTTCCCATAAATGAATCCAATTAGCAAGGCTGACCATCTTGCTGTCTGAAATCAGGGAATGAAAACTGCTGGTTTGTTTACTGGTGAGCTTGTAAAGGACTTCACAGGCCACTCTTATATTTTACAAATCAATCTCTTTATTGATACGACTAAAACTGAACATTCACTTTGGGAAAATAGAGTTTCAATTATGTTTGGCTCGAACTCCAGGACAACAGCATGCAAATCAGTTTGGTAATGAATACTTGACATTCAGCAATGTCCTTTGGTGTGGCACGCTATAATTAATATAGTCAACTATTTAAAAGAGTTTTAAAATATACAGATATGTTAATATTAAGTATACACTTTGTATGACCATATTAATTTAGATTCTAACGTTACAGGGAATATTTATACTTTTATAAATTCACCTTATCGTGTACAAGTTTAGTCGTTACCCTTATTCACATTTGACACGTTCCTTCGCTCTTTTCTTCGCAACACGTCATGGTACCCATTAGATAGCATTACTGACCTTGCAGTGCTGTGGTTAGACAGCTAGCTGGCTAACACGATTAGCTCATCCACCGGCTACATCTGCTATAGGTTTGACCATAGACGTAATAAGGGTTTGACCAACAGATTCTATGCTAAGCTAACACATTATCGTTGGCTATGTATAGCGCTATTTGCTGAGGATAAATGAAGGTCGCTGATATAAGCTATATAAACTAGCTGTTTCTGAATTTAAAACACAATTTGATAGTCATATTCCTAAGAGAAGCTATACCTTAATAAGCGGGAAGACCTGTACGGGAGGAACCATGTTTGAACAGACCTCTTCAGGCAGGAGAAGAGGAAGTCGCTGCTTTGATTCTCCCTGCTGTCTGTCAGTAGGCTACACTGTACACAGTACAGTACAGTACATGTCCATCAACTTTTTGCCCGTTTTTCACCATTTTTAAATAAAAAACAATAATAATTTTAAACCTTTTTAGAAGTTCGCTTAAATATTCCTACAGTGTAACAACGGAGTTTTTTTTTAAGTATAAATATTCAACCCAGTCTCACAGTTAATATAGGGTATTAATTTATTCATTTGTTAGGCCTTTTATTATTGTTATTATTATTAGTAGTAGTAGTAGTAGCATTGTTGCTTATTGTTGTTAATTTTAACAACCAGTTGACTTAGTCTTACAGTGTGAAAATTTAGTTTTTTTAATATGTATAAATATGTCATACAGTCTCTCAATATAGGGTAGGCTATTTATTTATTTAGTAGTAGCAGTGGATAAGATTTAGAAATAAATCAGTTTTGTCAACTGCCCATTGTCATTCTGGTGTGTCATGCATGCCTTGTCATTAAAATACAAATTGTACAAACTGTGTAAACCTTTTAAAAACTATAATTACAAAATCTTAGATAAGACAGGTTATAATTATAAAGATGAATTCCATCAAAGCCTACTTCCTAAATAGATATTTGAAATCAGTCTCATAGTGATGATAAATTTTTTTTATTAGCCACAGATTAAACATTAGATGTCTCCACCTGAGTTAAAGTTGTTCCTTCTATTTGAATCTATTTCTGGAGGTGATGTCACCGATGCCAACACAGGTGTCAGTTTCAGAAACCTGCTGGATTAGAAAGCATGTTGGAACGCTTGTAAATTAAATTTAAACATAGCTGACAGAATATGAAGTAAGTTCTGACACACACACACACACAAAAATATGCCCTGATGTGACATTGAACTATTTCTCACAGTAACCTTGATTAGTTATTATATTTAATATATGTGTTAATATTAGGTATGTTATATTGCTATACGATAGGAAAACCTTGTATCAGCCTCTTGCATTAACCTCTTCCCTTAATAGAAAGTTATGCAGAGCGCCAGAGTGGTCACTGGAAATAGAACAATGATGTACTTCTCTGGTATTTAACAGATGGATCACAAAAATACAGCCGACTTGTTTTGGAACATGACAGCATGTGCTCAGTCATAGCAGCTCTTCGACAGGCTGACACACACTGTAGTGCTAATAGAGGAGCGTTACTGGAATGTTCCAAGACAGCATATAAAAGCCTCAGGTCTTGTTCATTGGGACAGAAGCACAGAAGAACTCAACCAGCTCAAAACAGCACCAGAAATCCACCAAAAATGCTTTGCCCAAACACATTTCAGCCTCACCTCAGCCCATTCATGGACTTCCACTGGCCAGTGCGCAGTCTGTGGCCAGAAACCAGACCTCTGTTCTTTCAGATCGAGAAAGAAATGATGAGACACTTGCAGGAGATGAGACACAACCTGGAGTTCATGGAATGCCTGCACCAAAGGATTTTCGACGAGATTGACCACGTTTCACCCATGACGACTTTCAAACCCATCTCATTCCAGCTCGGAAAAGAAGGAAGCCTCTATGCACTGACACTAGATACGAAGGATTTCACTCCAGAGGAGCTGTCCGTTAAACAAGTGGGCAGGAAGTTGCGGGTGAGCGGCAAGACAGAGAAGAAGCAAGACGATGGGAAAGGATC